ATTAAACATTAAAAAGATTAAACACAATAAAATTTAAAATAAATTATTAATTTTATTATAAGTTCTATTATACTTCAATTAGAACGATTACTATTTTTAATATATTATTATTAATATTATTATTTTATTACTTTATTTATATACAGTCAATTCTCTATAAATATATATCCTTAAAACTAGGTATAAGAATGCATTTAAAGAGTGTATGCATTTATAGAATATATATAAATCTATATAATATTAATCTAAAATTAAGATAATACAAAAATTTATAAGTAAACTTATAAAATTTTTATAAAGAGTGCATTTATAAAGAATATATATATAACTAAAGAATGGTAATCATTCTAATCTAAAATATAACAGGATTTTAATGATTAAGTTTTGTGAAATATATATGATTAGCAATATAGAATTCTATTAGTTGATCAATATATAAGATAGAATAATATTGTATTGCTTTGACGTAAAAATTGATTGTCTTTATACTAAAAATATTAAGCAGTCTTAAGTAGTTCTAAAAGTCTCAAGAAAATTACAAAAAATTTTATTTACAAATTTATTATGAAACTTGTTTATTATAATATTTTAATAAACTACTAAATGAAAATATATAACAAATCCTCTTAGAATCTCAGAATTTCTTAAAATTTAAAATTTAAAGACTTAGAACTAGGTTTCAAAAATTAGTCCTATACTTAATGGTCCTATCAAAATTGCTAATTTTGAATATCATTTTAGTTTTTTATAAATTAATTATAAAATTTTTAAGACATTTTTTTGATGAGAGTTACTTATTATAGATAAGTGATTAGATTTCTTTAGAGTTAGTAATCTCTTAAATTATAATAACTGATTAAGGACTATTTAACATCCCTACCTTATGCTTCAAATAAAAATTATACATTTAGCATTAAGACTCAAATTAGAATTAGATAAAAAGGTATATTTATAAAGAATATACATTTATAGAGAATTGACTGTATTATTAACTATTTTAAATATTATTTATTATATTTCTTTTTTATATTATATATTAGTTAGATAGTATTTTTATTATTATAAATATTGTATTTTATTTTTATAATTATATTTTATTTAAAATAAATTTAAATTAAAGTAATTTTAAATTATATATTAATAATTATAAATTTGTTAATATTATGATATATCAGATTGCAAATCTGTATAAATCTGCAATTTAATTTTCCTATACAGATCTCAATACACTAATATGATCTTTAAAGATAAATTTTTACATAGATTTATAAGAGGTAAATATCTGTATAAAAATTTATTAATAAATCTGCAAAATATTTTAAAGTAATTTATATGTATATGTTTCATAATAAAAATATAAAATTATTAAAATTATTATTTATTTCAATATCTTTCAAATATATTGATATGATAATATTTACAAAATATAAACTAAAATACATAAAAATAAAAATAATAAATTAATGTCACATTAAAATCTTCAATTAAATTAAAAATTTATCAATAAACTGAATGTATAATATTAAATAGTTTCAATTAATAAAATAATTCAAAATACAGCAAATATATCAATAACTAATTAACTAATATTTTTTTTAATTCACTATTTGGCCATAATCGTCATCATCTATTATTGCTTAACTTCATCTAGCTTTCATTAGCAGTTTACTTCTCTTTCTTTTTATATGCAATAGCTTCTTTGTTGGCTATCTGTTCTATTATTTCTGGTATAATAGAATTTTCATTTTCGTAAGCATGCTATTTAATAAATAAAGTTCAAATTTTAATATATCTAAAATATTCGAAAAATAGAATTCTGCAAATATATTTACCAAAAAGGCATTTACTTGCTTTACTATAGGTTTATTATTACACTTTATTCTGGAATTTTTAGGATTTAATAGAATATTGCAAATAGAAAGGATATATAGGGTCTTTGCAATAGAAAGGGAGGAAACTCCAAAAAAATTAAAATTTTAGTTTATAAGCCAAAAATGTTCTAAATACTATGATTTGTTTAGATTTATTATTAACTCATTTTTTATTTTTTTTTGAGTTTCCTCCCTTTTTATTACAAAGGCCTCATATGTATAATGCATAGTTAGAAGCTCCTTTTCTTTATATTGTATCATTAAGGATATTACTAAGAAATTTTCATAATGATAGATCAAATTAACATAAAAAGGTAATCTTTATATTATATTCTTAATATCTTATTTAATAATCAACTTAATAAAAAGAATAACTTCTATACTATACCCTTAATATTTGCCTAGTAACTAAGTTAGCACAGAAAGGCAACTTTTATATTATATCTTAATACTTTATCTGATAATTAAGCCAATATAAAAAGTTAGTATTTTTATTATGAAACCTAATATTTAAACAGAAACAGAAGGTCAATACTCTATTAAAAAACTTAATGATCAAACAAATTAAAAATAAGAAAAAAAGAGTAATAATTAGGCTAATAGTAGATAATAATTAGATTATAAAGTGATATTATAATCTGTCTTAAGTAATATATCATCATATAATATAATTATATTATATAATGATATAGTCGATACTCTTTATAATCATACTTATATATAGTTATACCCTTTATAAGCATACTCATATTGGCCTAAATTACTAATAAACTTATTAAAAAAAACTCTTTTTCCTGTGGATGTGACTATAGAAAGGATTGATTAAATATCACTAAATTTAATTCATTCTATTTATATTTTAAATTATGATTTTGTGTTTTATCTGATTAATAAATAAAATTTTAATTAATTGCATTACATTTTATATATCCTATTATAAATAGATTTTACTTTATATATCATTTATTATTAAAAATAATAATTAATATAATTAATAATTAAAATTAATAAATATATATATATTTTTTTATAATAAATATTATTTTAATATATTAAATATATATTTATATAATAAATTACTTTTAGAATAAATAATAATATATTATTTTTTAATCAAAAAATATTATTAATCACATACATGTATTTTAATATTAATAACTATTATTATTTATGAAAATAAGTATAATTTATATTTTATAACTGTCTAAATAATGAAAAAGTAATAATTTTGACTTTAATATTTATAAATTATAAATTTAAAATTTATTATTGTTTTTATTAAAAAAAAATAATAGTTATAAATTTTATATCGAGAATAAAAAAAATAAAATAAGTGTTTTTCTTACAAATTTATATAATTTGAAAATATAACATTAACAGATGAAAAAAAAAAAAAAAAAAAAAAGCTTTTTTATGGTCAATTTAACTATTTAAAATAATTAATATGAGTTGATTGATAATCACGAAAAGACATTTTATTGGTTGAATTTGGAATATGATTTCGTCATGCATGTCTGATGTTCATGCAAATTCGCGTAAAAGTACCGACAATTAAATGTATTAACTTGCTTTCGAGTTATATTAATAGATAAAGATATTTTTTTTTCTTTAGTGAACAAGCAAACAATATGACAAGGCGAAATACAATTGCTTTTACGAACGTGATACGTGAACTTAATTTGCAAAACGATGAAGCTGCAATTAAAGAAAAAGCTTCTGAACTCCAGAAAGAAGTTGATAGGAAAATAAATGCAAGACTCATGTCACATTGGCCGAGTTGTAAACCCGTCCTTTGTATCCACATCGCGTGCGAAATGTATATATATTTTACCTGATTTATGATTATCTTTAATGTATTTACATAATAACTAATGTTTTCATTTTTACAAAGTTTAAGGATTCCATTTGATAAAGACTCCATAGTAAAACTTGCAAGTACAACTGAGCAGAATTATTATTCATCTCTTTCCTACATCAAGAAAACTCTAGTCATTTCCACTTTGACTTTTGATCTATTGGCATCACGTTTTGATTGTCCAAAGACTTTACCCTATCTTGAATCTATGTTCGAAATTTTCAAAAACAATTGGTCACAAAAGTTGACAAACGCTAACCTTAGAACAATTGATTGGGATAATCCTGTATTCAAGGTTGCTATATTTTGGTGTATTTACAAAACATTCGGAGTAAGTATTATAAAAAAAAAAGTATATGTTTTTATTTTATTTTATTTTTTTGTCATTAAACAAAGTTTATCACATATAGGGTCAAAACCAAATAAGTCAACAAGAATTAATCGATCTACCAGAGGTTACTATAACTCGTGTTGAATTAAATAAACATACGAAACTTGTTGAAACCCATTGCAAAAGCTACATTGCTGAATTAAAATCGCAAAAAAAATTAACTGGACGCAGAATAACTTTTAAAAAACCGATACCTCTTAAAAAAAAGTCTAAACCTAAAAATGATGATGAAGATAAAATGAATTATAGTGGTAAAGGAAAAAGAGGTAGGAAAAGGCCATTCCAAGAAGATGATGATATAGAAGAATCCAATAATAAATATTCCAAGGTAGAAGAAACCTCAAAATCATTTGAAAAAGATAAGAGACAAGCGGTAGAATCTGAAGAGGAAGATGAAATATCTTGTATTGGACCAATGAATTCACAAGGAGAAATGGTAAGTATAAGTATTTATGATAAAGAATGTCATCTTTTTTAAATATAATTTTTTCAACGCTTTATCTTATATCGTAGAAAATCGTCAATTACTGGGAAACACGATTATATGATGATTATCTTGATTGGCGTGAAAGTATTATAGAAAAAATATCGGAAAGAATGGATATGGATTAGAAAGAACGTTGGAATTTATAACGTTAAAATAAGAAACTTTTTAATTTATAAATCGTATTAAAGATTTATTACAGTAATAATTAAACATTATTCTAATTAATTGTTGTTTTAAGATTTATTTTTATAAAACTGCAATCTATGCAAAAATATTAACTAAATAAAACTAACAATAAAAAAGTTTTTTTGTAGGATAAATAAATAAACAATAATTAAATATATCCTAAATGAATAAAAAAAAAAAAAATTTAAGGCTCAAAATCCTTACCTTACCTTATTTGTTCTCATTTGAGCCGAAAATAGCTAATAAATTTTTCCAAACAACATTTTGATTTTGAGAGGCATCAATGCTTGACCAAATACCTTTCTGCTTATAATAATCTACTACGGGGGTAGTTTGTTTATGATAAGTAGCCAATCTCTTTTTTAACGTTTGAACATTATCATCTGAACGTTGAATTAAAGGTTCTCCGGTGATATCATCTTTACCGGGGACTTTCGGTGGGCTTTATAAAGGAAAAATATTATGGTATTAATTTAAATAAATAGAAAAATGTATAAAGGAAACAAGTAATAAAGTATTTTTATTCACAAGCTTACTCGAAAATTTTGTGATAAGTTCTACCACTAGAAGGATGAATCAAACGACCGGTAATGCGTGAAACCAATAAATTATCGTCAATAATTAATTCAACAGCATGATCAAGTTTTTTCTTATCTTTTTCAAGCATAGCATCAAGTTTTTCTGCTTGTGGGACCGTTCGAGGAAATCCGTCCAAAATGAATCTAATTTTTTTTTATATTCTTTTTAGAAAATATTTATAATATTAAGGTTTTTTTTTAAAAAAAATAAATAAATAAATAACGAACCCTTTTTTACATTCAGGATTATTATGTAATTCATCATGAATCATTCCAACCATAATTTCATCAGAAACCAATCCTCCAGATTCCATAATCTTTTTAGCTTCTAAACCGAGTTTAGTTTTTGCTGCTACTTGTGAACGTAACATATCTCCTGTAGCCAAATGACAAATACAATATTTTTCTTTGATTCTTGGAGATTGGGTCCCTTTGCCTAAAGGATTAAAGTAAACATATTAAAAATCTGTCTCTTTATTAATCTCTTTTAAGAAACTTACCAGCTCCTGGTGGACCCATAAGCACCATTCTTAATTCTTGAGAGGGCTTGAAAACTTCCTTTTCAATTTTTTCAATACGTCCATTAATAGATTGTATTAAACTTTTTAAATGTGTTAATTCTTCGAGATAAACATTAGTTTGATCGGTATTTGATTTTGAAGGCATATTTTATTATTATTATTTATTTTCGTTATTAAGACAAAAAAAAAAAAAAAGTAAAGCGGGAAATAAAAAAATTTTGATGATTTAAAAAAAAAAAATTTTTTTATCCGATCAGATCTGAAAATATTCAGTGTTACACGCGTCCAAAAAAAATTTAATGAAAATTACCTTAATTTGGATATTCTTTTTGGTTAATTAAAACCATGAGCATAGCATAAGGTTTGAAAATTATGTAACTTTTTCGCTATTGTCAGATTTAAAAAAAAAAAAAAAGGTGATATAATTCTTTAACATCAGAGCCCTATCTCATCAAATAGTCTTTGAGTTTTTCATTGTATTAGTCATATGATTAGTCATATGAAATCAGTGATTTCTATTTCAGTATGACCAAATAAATTAAAACAATTATTAATGAAGCATATGACATTCATGTTCCAGAATTTTTGGTAATCTTTCATGTTTCGGGATAAATCCGAAAATTTTCGGTTCCGAAATTTCTAAGAAGTTCCGGAACATTTTAAAAATGATCGGTAATTCTGATTGACAATTCCGAAAAATGTGAAAATGAATATTTAGATGATTCTGTTATATACATATGTTGTGATGGAGAATACATAGAAATTAGTGATAATTAAGTTATATGTGTATGAGAAGGAATTTGTAATAATGACTTCTTGTATATATTTTGATGCATTAACTGAATTTACCATATGAAATAAAGGACTACTTGAAAGATTGTTCACTTTATTTTAAACAAACAATATTATTAAAAAACAATATTTGCTATAAATAAATTCAGATAACGATTTTCTTTGAATATAACGGCGATCTTTTGTTTTTTATGAATTATAATCAAATCAGTCTTACTTTACATTTAGTTTTTTATCTTCAAATACGACTTTTAAAATTTAGCATATTACGATAATTATTGATTTTTATGTACTATTAAGATATTTTTTTAATGCTAAAACAAAGTCATGTAAAGATTGGTATATATATGCTTTACAGCAAACAGCCAAATTTCGGCCAAAATAACTAGGTACTCTATTAGGATTTGATTGACATTCGGTCAAAATAGCCAAAGACCAAAAGGTAAATCTGTTAATTACTATACAAATACAAATTTGGTTAAATAAAACATCAGTATTTAATGATTTTATAAATATTCTATCTAATGCAATTAAAAAAGCTTTTTAATATTCTTAAAAAGAATATTATTTATATAAAGTTTTTAAAAATAATAATATCTGTCTTTTTTTAGAAATATTAATAAACAACTATGAATTGATAAGAAATAGTTATGGAATCATTGTCTCTAGTTCAATTAGTAACAACTGAATTTTATTGTGGGTTACATTGCAATAGCCACAGATTCAGATCTCAGCTGAAGCATAAAACTGTATGATTTTCATATAAATTTTATAATAACTGAACATATAGCTTATATACTAATATGCATTAGAAGCTAGTTGATCAATTTAGATTTGAAGAACAAATAAATGTAAATAAAATCAGAAATTAATAGAAACTTAGCTATCACTAATAAGTTTGTAATAGATACTGTTTATGTCTTCAAACTTAGAGGTCTTATATAAGTAAAGAAGTAATTAATCAGTAATTAATAAATTAACTATTCTATAAGAGGCTATAATAATACTTTAAAGTTACATTATTATCCAATTGAATTGTTATTTATGATAAAATCAAATTTAATTTCTAAATGAGTTTGATAATATAAATATAACAATTACTTATCTTTTTAAATTCTATATAAAATGATAACTCTCAAGATATAAGTTTTATAAGATTACTTCATTTTAGATCTTTTTGATCATGTATTAAAAAGAATATTCTGATAAGCAGAGATTATAATAATTCTGATTAGTGTTAAGAAATGATAATTTCTATAGCTGTAGTAAATTTTTTATTTAAATTTAACAATAGCTTTGAAAGCTTTAAAGATTTTAAATCTTAGAATCTGAATGTTTATGATTTAGTAATAACTCTTAGGCTATTATAGGATAGTTTCTAATTAAAATTTAAGCTTAATCATAATCTTATTAGATTTTGATTAGCATTAAGAGTAAAGATAGTCCTTATAATTATTTTCAAATTTAATTAAGTTGCAACTTAATTGCAATATAAGAAATTTTAATTGCGCTACAAGTTACAACTCAATTGTGCTATTTTTTTTAATTGTAATATTTATTTTTAATTAAGAGTAACTTAAAAAATATGTATATATTTATAAGATTCCTGTATTTCAGTACTAAAACTATAAAAAAAAATAATATTTATATAAAGATCAAAATTTTAATTTAGTTAGTAATAATTAAGCTTCTATTATAAATTACAGTTTATTCTTGATATAGTAAATTTTGATATAATAAACTATATGATGTTGATCAATCAAATATGTTAATTTTTCTCTTTATAATAAAGTAATCAATAAAATCCTTCAAATTCTTCACTAATTTGCTATAATAAAATTAAGGTACAGAATGCTTACTTTGTTATATTAAGGGTAAATTGTATACTGCAATAACTATAAGTTTAGGCTTTAGCTAAAGCATAAAATTATATAATTTTTTATTATAAATAAATATGTAGATATATACACACAGGACAAAAGTATCTAGACAATTGTGATATTGCATAAATTTAACTGTATATTGCTGATCTTTAAATAATAATAGAACGCTCAATTTCTAACCAAATTCGTTATTCTTTTTTTTTTAGAATCCCACGACTTCGCTTTTTTAAATAAAAAAAAATTTTTATAAATAATTATTTCAATACATAAAAATGCCAAAAACCTGTGAGCTTATACCTTTTGAGTGTGAAAAAATTGTAGATTTATCAAAGGGCGGATATAGCATAAGAAACATCTCAGAAATTCTTGGCAAACCAAAATCTACTATCCATGATGTAATTACAAAGTATAATAAAGAAAACTGCACTGATACTGCGTCTAAGAATGGTAGACCTCCAGCTTTATTAGAATAAGATAAATGTTAAATAGAAGAATAGTCTGACAAACCTATAAACAAGCTGTGGAAGAAATTACTGAACAATTTAACTAGGGTCTTAATATTTAAGTGAGCACTGCATTCTATGAGTTATTATGAGCGTATTGGTAGGAAAAAACCTTTAATTTCTGATGTAAATAAAAAAAACGTTTATTTTAGTATCATATTAGAAAAAGTTAGCAAGATAAATGGAATTTTATAATTTTTAGTGATGAATCTCATTTTGAATTATTTAGAAATGATGCTAATTAATGGGTTTGATGTAAGGTTTATGAGGTATATGCAAAAGATTATTTAATTCCAACAGTTCAAAAGTCAGAAAGAGTTATAGTTTGGGAGTGTTTTTGCAACTTTAAAGTAGAACTATTAATACTAATTGAAGGAAAATTAAATGCTGAAAAGTATGTAGAATTACTTAAATATTATCTTTTACTTTTTCTTAATAAATTTGAACCTAATAGCCATACTTTTCAAGATGATAATATTTCAGTATATGCAGCACGATATACAAAGTGTTGAAAAGAAGAAATTTTACATCAATCACTTCCTTAACCAGTACAGAGCTCTGATCTCAATCCAATTGAGAATTTGTGAAATGTATTAGAAAGAAAGATTAGGATGCATAGTCTTAAACTGAAAAATAAGTCAGAATTTTTAGCTGTTCTTAAAAAAGAATGGTATCAAATTGAACCTAAAAGATTATTAAAGTTAGTTGAAAGTATGCCTCGTAGAATTAAGACTGTAATAAAAGTAAAGGGTATCCTACATTATATTAATATTATTTTAGATTAATATAAGCTAATGAATGGTTAAAATTTATGTATTTTTACTAAAAATTATAATGTTGTAATATAGCTAAAAATTTCTTTAAATTTTTTCAGTTTTTTTTATATTATTTTATAACTATCTAACAAAATTTTATAAAAAATTTTATAATTATATATTTCAAATAATAATAAAAAAGGTTACTTGGTAATAAAAATTATGTTAAGATCAAACATTTTAATTTTATATTATAACTAAAGTTTTTATTAAACAATGTATTATTTTAAAATAAATTTTAAATTATTATAATTTGACCAATTTTTACTTAAATTTTTTGAAATTTTTATGTATCATATGATATATTATAATGAATAACTTTACTTATGAAACTGAAGTTATATTTATTAATAAAAAAAAAAGTTTACTTATATCTAACTTTATCTAATTAATTTAGTAATTTGCATAGTGTCCAGATACTTTTGTTCTGTATGTGTACATTAATATATATTAGAAACTAATTAATTAATTATTGATCAATATTAATTATACTTAAATACTAGATTAAAAATAAGTAGATGTAAATAAAAAGATTAGTCGCCGGTAACTTCATGATATAATTATATCATGAAGTTACCGGCGACTTAGATTAGATTATGAAGGGGACTTCATAGTCTATTGGTATCTTCATAATATAATGGTAACTTCATAGTCTGCTGGTATCTTCATAATATAATAGTAACTTCATAGTCTGCTGGTATCTTCATAATATAATGGTAACTTCATAGTCTGCTAGTAGCTTCATGATATAGTGGTAACTTCATAGTCTGCCAGTAATTTCATAATCTAATTACATAATCTGGTGGTAATTTCATAACCTAATATCACAATCTGATGGTAACTTCATAACCTACGTACGGGTATCTCCTTTGCGTTTATAACATTATTTTAATTGTTTCCTGTATAATATTGCAGTAACTTCATAGTCTAATAGTAGATACAGTGCTTTAATTTAATGGTGATGTCACGATCTAATGGTAACTGCTTTCTTCTTGTTTTCGAGTTATTTACATGCTAAATTCTATAATGGGGTTGTTGACCTTCTGTAGCTGTTTGGATATCTGGTTTTATATTGAAGATGCTGGTCTCCTGCGTCTGTTTAGATGCTGGATTCTATATTAGAGTGCTTTCTCTTTGCGCCTAATTGGTTGCCTGTCTAGGCGTTGAAATAGTGTAAAAAAAAAGGTGATTAATTTTGGCCGGCTCTATTAGTTCACCAATTTTATATGCTTGTTTGGATGCTGAGTTATTATACCCCTTAGCCTGACCCATTTGATTGCCAGAAGTGTACCATTTGCGATCCAACTATTACACCAGTATAAGTATACCATTTTCGCATATATTAATAAAAAAATTTCTTGGCACATTTTGGACGACAGGATTCGACCAGTCACGTCGTTAAAGTTCATGAGGATGCCTCGATTGGGGAGATACCATATGTTATCATATGTAATAATGAATTTATAAGAAATAAATATAGCACTAGTAATATATATCCATCGAAGCCAGTACCATGGCCGGTCTATTTGATTGTCAAAAAGTGCGTCATCCTATAACTCAACTATTGTCTATTTGTTACCGGTATAAGTCTTACGCGGAGGTTATACTATACCCGAGTACATATCTAGAAATGTGTAGACTTCTGCCATTATTATATAATAGAATCTGCAGAAGCCTACACATTTTGTTGCATATCCACTTGCTTTTCGTTTACGATTTGTTGGCTACATTCACTATCCTTCTTTTTTATATTTTCTGAAAAAAATAAATTAAACATTTCCGATCTTTTATAAAGTTAGTATATCTTTTCCTACTATCAACATGCATACCTCAATTACTTTTAACCAAACTAATCGCACTAGAACTCTCACCCACTACGACGGCGCTGACCCCGATGCTGGCATCCCTTATGAGTTTCAGAATTTAGGACTGCATCGCAATGATATTGTGGTAGAATTCAATAATGGGATGACTGATATACTTCAACAAAGCCTTTCTGGCAAGCAACCCATACACTTTATGCCTACCGCTGTAAGTGATGAGGCTGAATACATTAATGGGGTGTCCACTTATATTTTGCGTGTTATTGGTTGCTTGATTAATGGGCAAAAAGCTATCGTAAATGTTATGGGCATTAAACCTTTCTTTGATGTCGTAGTACCTGAAAAGATACCACTATTTACGTTTAAGACCAAATTAGTGAAGATATTATCTAATATTTTTGGAAGTGCATCGAAGTTTGGGATTGAGTCTATTAGCGCTTTTCCACTTCAAGGATACCATACAGAAAAGAAACCATATATCCGTGTGAGGACATGGAATCACTTTGATCGGTATAATGCCTTAAAAGCAGTTCGTGAAGTTGGAATTCATACCGCTTTTGATGATCTAAACTGCCAGTATTATTACCGCAAAATAGCTCGTGAAGAACGATTACCTCTTTCAAGCTGGGCTGTATTAAGCAATTATTTATACAAATTCACCCCAGATGGTACTTACCTATTTCGACTATCTGTAGATAATTATAATCCAATAAGTGAGGACGATTATAAAAATCCATTAATTTCTTCTGCACTTTTACGAGATCGCACTCTAGTCCTTACATGGAATATTGAGATATATAGTTCATGAAAAACAGGCGAGGTGCTTAACACAAAATATGATGAAGACAAAGTGTTTATGATTTGTATGACGGTTCACTGGAAAGATGATCCTGAACCGTTAAAACAAATTTGTCTTGTTGACGTCAAGATGGTATCAGATCCGAGATAGATTACAGTTATATGTGGATCCCAGACAGATTTACTAAAAGCATTCGCTTTATGTCGAAAACTTTTAGCCCCAGACATACATATAGGTTTTAACGATTCTCAATACGATTGGCGGTTTATTGTAGAGAAAGCTAATAAATTAGGGATTCTCAAATGGATGTTCAATCATATGTCATTCAAGCCATCCAGCCTGGAAAAAATTATAAAATGGGAATATCGATATAATATGATAAAAGTAAATGATGGGAAATTCCATTCGAAACATCTTAAAATTCCAGGATGTGTAGCTATTGACGTCTGACCCTGTTTTATGGGAATTTATTCTAAGGCTGAAAAGAGTAGTTTAGCATTTTACCTAAATGAATGTGGACTCGAAAGTAAAATGGATATGCCTATTCACTGCATGAACAAATATTATGAAAGAGCATTAAAAGAGCCAGATTCCATGTCGGCTGAACAAATGCGCGAAGTGGCCAAATATTGTATTATCGACGCTCTTAGTTGCCAGCGGTTAATGGTAAAGCATAATGCAATTAATGAATATAGAGAGGTAGCATCTGTAGCCTTCATATTATTATACAATTCACATTATTTTGCAGTAGGAATGAAAGTGCGTAATCTTTTAAGTGCTGATGCGTGGCGGAAAGGGATTTTAACTAGCACAATTCCATGTGAACAAACGGAAACAGGGAAGTATCCTGGGGCCTATGTTTTTCCACCGGTAAAGGGTCTCGAAAATAAACGTCCTGTAACTGGCTTAGACTTTGCATCATTGTACCCAAGTCTTATCATGACATACAATCTCTCATCCGATAGAATCATTTTATCTTGAAAACATGCTGAATCTCTAAAGAAAAGCGGTAAAAAGCTTCATGAAATTAATTTCAAATTCAATAGTCATGATGTTTTCGCATGGTCTATAGAGCATGGAAACCAAGCCAAAATGAAAGGCCTTTATCCAAAGTATTAGAGGAGTTGCTTATTAGACGAAATTCTCTAAAAAGACGTCTTGCTCCATTAAGTGATAGAAATGAAGAATTAGAAAAGGAGATTAGTTTGGCGGAAGCAAGGGGTGAGGACGTTACAGATGCTTTAAAGTCTGAATACTTTTCAGTTTCCTTTATTGTCGCCTGTCTAAACGCAAAACAACTCGCTTTAAAAGTGTATATGAATACATTTTACGGTGAAGTTGGGAATAGCGGATCCTCTTTCTTCTTGCAAGCATTAGCAGGTGGGGTAATATCAGCTAGTCAGCGGAATATCAAGCTTATTGCCGACCTTGTCAGAAGTAAAAGGTTCAGTATAAAATACGGGGATACAAATTCCTTATATCTTGTCTGTCCAGAAGAGTGCTTTCAGAAATGTGATGAGGCATATAACAGTAGTAATGGGATTTCGATAGAAGAATATTGGTCTAAAATGGTGAATATCTCTATGGAAGTAATAGAAAGTCTCTGCGACGAAGTTAATGACTTTCTCAGAAATGATAATAGATCATCTTATCTCAAAATAGCATATAAGGAAGTCTTATTTCCGGTAGTATTTACTGGAAAGAAAAAATATTATAGTATTTCGTATAGAAGACAGCCTAACTTTAATAATAAGCTTTTCATTTGAGGGTTGAGATTGTAAAGCGGGGCAGTTTAAACACTTTCGTGAGGTGGGTAAGAAAGTCATGAAAGAATCTATGAAACTGGATAATACTCGCACCTTGCGTCAGATTGTGAAGGACGTGCTCAAAGAGACCATAAAATGATATTTCACAGATAGACCTTAATGGAGTGATTAAAACTGCTGTGTGGAAGCCTGATAAAAATAACAAGAGTGTCCAGCGTTTCATTTTACGAATGCAGGATAGACACACTTGTGAAGAAGCGGATACTAAAAGGTGTATAAAAAAGGGCCTAACACCTGAGACTTATCTTTATGAAATCCCAGAACCAGGCGAACGCTTTGAGTATATTGTAGTTGAGAATGATTCGTCACAAAGGGTAGGGGATAAAATGGAGTATCCAGAGGTAGTGAGGCGATTAGGTAAAAAGATCGATATCAGCTATTATCTGAAAACTGTTATCAGCCTCTATGCATGATTTATTAACTATGATGAAATATTTCAGCCATTATCTGAAATTGTGTTGGGAGTCTTAAAAAAGTTAAAAGATGATAATAAAGCAGACGATAATGAAGCGGACGACGATGGGATAGATGAAGATGACCTGGACGAAGATGAAGAGGATGAAGATGAAATGGATGAAGATGAGGTATCAAAAATAAGAGATGCCTTAGCGCAGAAATCAGCTGAGAAGTGGATTAGAAGGTATATCAAAGAGCTACATACTGGTTTGAAAAAGATCATGCCATCATATCCCATTTGTGAAAAGAGGCTAATACTTATGCGAAAAATTTATATGATACTACTTATTCTAATAAAATAGAAAAATACTTGGGAAATGATGCTTATTGGTCTTCTTACCTCAATGCACTAGACAAGTAAGAGGAATGCATCCGCTTAAAGCTAACAACATTACTTGCAGAAATTTCTAAGATCAATATTGGCTGTAAAGATGGAATGTATAAATTAGTTACTAAAGTCGGTAAGTGCAGATCGAAAGCCATGTCCTTAGAAAGATACATGTTATCATATAATCTAGAAAATAGATATGATTTACTAGTTAATTTGCGAAATACTGGTATAGGATAGTTGGTCTAGAAATTACACATTATCGAGTGTTATTGAAGTTACAGGAAGATAAAAAAGATGATTCGTCTAAGGCAGATATAGACGATATTATTGAACTATATTGCTAAATATTCTTAGCCGAAATTACCACACCTTGCTAAAAGAACTTGTGCAATATTATTTATGTCTGCATATATTTTTCGTCTAATAATACTGGCTAACTTCAATTCCTATCTTCGAACTTCTGACCTCCGATCATATAGCCCAACCTCAGAAATGTCTGGAGATGATAAAAAATAGTTCTGGTTAGGAGGGTATTCAGTGTTACTTTTTTTCCTTGAATTCCACCATTTCCTGATCACGAACCATATAACCACAATCAGTAGTAAAGCAAGTATAGCATATGGCATTAAGGAACTTTTAACGACTGGTGCGGTTCTAGAGAGACCCGCTAGAGGCATTACTTGAGCTGATGGTACCACTTCTTTTGCGCCACCTGATTGCTTCGCAACTCCTTCTCTTGATATAGACTTTTCAAAATGTGCTGGTTGGTTATGAACAGATTGATTGGGTAGGGTATCTATTTGGCTTCTCGAAACCATCTCATTCTGGGGTATTAGCTCTTGCAAAGCCTCTAATATATTTTCTCTGGCAAAACTTTTATCGAGTTTCATAATTTTATCTTCAAGACCACGCTCATAAACGAGGGGTCTTAAATTATCACTGACCCAACTTGGTAGCTTTTGCGATGAATCGTTCATAAGCGGAGATGGAGGATCTACTTCATTATACAAAGCACCTCTTGACTCTTTCCTTAACGCTAACTGATCTCTAAGGGACCTATTTTCCTCCATCAATTTTAATCATTCTGAAGACCAAATATTCAGCTTCTGTTTGTATATGTTATCTGATGACTCTATCCCTTTTTTCATACATTCTATTGTATATTCTTTTGAACTAAGGTCCTCATTCGCTCGCTCTAATTTAAGCTTGAGAGAATCATATAATGCTTGCTCTAGTTTCAAGTTATCCAACTCACCTTTCAATTTACGTATTTTAGTTTCAAGAGAAAGAATCTAGATCTTGTCAGTGAACGAAACTTTCTGGGTCAAAGTTGCCTCTCTCTTTAGCGTTTTAATATTTGATTTGAGCGATTTGACTTCGGCTTCAAGTTCAATACGAGACCTCCGTTCAGAAATAAATTTGGATCTAAGTTCAGTACTGGACGCATTTAACTGACTAGCTTTATTTCCCATATCAGCATAAATTCGAAGGAACTCCTCCTCTCGCTCTGAATACTCTGAATTTTTAGCCAACAACTTTCACAAAAATCATTAATTTCGGCTTTAGAACTAAGAGTAGTATACAATTTTTTTTCAAGCTTTTGCTCATACGCACTACTAAGCCTATGACCTTTATTATTAATATTTTTCAAGATATACACATTGGTCATAGCTTTTTTCGGATTAGTTGCTAGTATGTTAAAAAACATGTGATTAAAAATTTTTTACTTGGCAATTTTTTTTTAGACCGAATGAACCAAATCTACCGAATCTACCGAAAATATATCGATAATACCGAACAGAAATCGAACGAATATCGAAAATATATTGAAAATATACTGGTATTTTTTTGAAAGATTTTTTTTTGTCTATTTGTAAAAAATGCTTCGGTATTTGCGTTCAGATGCAACCCCTATTTGCTGAAGATATCCAGGATATTATTAAAGCTAAAAATTCAATGAAGCGGGCATCAGAAGTCATGGCTAACAAATACAAAATATCAACATGGCGGGTGTATCAAATTTGGAGAGGAACTCACCCACCAATAGACCCTAAAGATATAAAACCGCTGTCAGAAGAATCTGATTCGTATCAGCAAGTGGATCTTGTGGAATGCAATATTATTTCTGGGAGTAAGGTAAAAAAGATCAGAGGAAAGAAACCCAAGTCCAAATCCGTTAGAATCTCTGAACCATCTATTATCCAGAATCAGCCAACATCTACAAGCCCAGAGGGTTCTGAAGGTTTAAATATTAGCAAAGAGGATCTGAATGCATTTTATGAAAAAGAAGCTAAGAGAGACGAAAAAAATAAAGCAAAGGTGAATAGGCGTTTAGCCATGTAGAAGATATTTCCCATTTAATTTATTATAGCGTACTAATAATTTCTCACACAATTCGTTAAGATCCTCTTTAGACTTAAGAGAATCGTACATTTTTTCGAGCTCTTCATAACTTACTTTTTTTTAATATATCCTCCTCGCTTGCTGTTAAGGCACTACACAAGTCCTGCGGGTCCTGAGAAATCTTATTTAAAGCTGATAGATCATTGTTAGCTATGCTAATCGCGCAATTCACCTCGAGCTTGTTCTTGACCTTATGCATGGTGACTGGAAT